AAACCTGTTTTTATAGGAAATCTCCCATATTTTATATGTTGGCAATTAATTCAAATACTGAACCAAAAAAAAAAAAAAAAGCGCCAAACGGATCACTTTGTAGGATGTGTCCTGCCCAAGGGCTGCCAGTTTGTATCCTCCAAGTTCAAAACTTCATTATCTGGTTAGTTGAGACGGCTCAGCCACCAAGAAGTGGTTAGTGTGGTTTCCAGGGGAGTGCCGAAAGGCCCGGCCTCAGCCCGGGGGGAGAGAAACATGGAAGATGGCAGCCGCGAAGTGGACAACTGGGGGACGAATGGATTCAGAACCATCTCAAGGCAGGAAGCGGCGGGTGGACCTGGAGGCCGCAGGCTGACCTGACAGCAGTTGGGTGCAAAGGATCCGGGTGTCTCAGCCACACGCTTGACGTGAGCCAATGGGGCTACACAAAAGCTGGTGCAAAACCTCAGGCCTTGTTATGATCCTCACGGGCGAATGAAGCCCTGCTTCTGAGTCACACTGTGTCCCAGGTGTTTACAGTGACTCTGCGGCCCAGCAGGAGGAGGGCGGGGTTCACAGAGGCCTGGTTCGAGGCTGGGCCCTGCTGCTTGCAGCCTGGTGGCCTCACTAAAGTCACACTCCCTTTCCCCCACCCCGAGCCGCAGTGTCCCCATCATGACACCCTCCCAGGCTGTGGCGCTGGCCAAGCAAGTTCTGTGAACGCTCTCCACCCACACGGGCCCCCGCCATCGCGCCCAGAACTCTCCCCCCCCCCCGCTCGTTCCAAGGGAGGCAGGGCGATTGCCCTCACGTTAGAACAGGACACCAAGGCCGGGTAAGTCTCGTCTCTTTGTGTCTGGGACACAACGCCAGGACAGCAGAGCCAGCACTGTCGTCCAGAACCCAAGAACTCCAAGTGCTCTTTCTCCTGACACTTTCCTTTCTGCTCCCATTGTACAGATGGGGCCACTGAGACCTCACGGCGAGACCGATGCTCAGTGCTTGGTCTGGGATAGAAATCAGGTGCTCTGGCCCCTGAGCACATGTTCTGCCTTCACATCGGACAGACTTGCTGGAGGAGGGGATGTTAGCAGCACGTGGGGAATTGCTTCCTTGCTGCTGTGGAAGGCTGCGGGGAGGGGCAGAGGGAAGCCGAGGCGGCTCCACATGGCCAGGGAGCCAGAGAGTCTCAGCGCCACGGGGCCCGGGCCTTCATGTTGGGAGCAGAAGGAACTTCCTGTGCCCCAGGGAAGGAGATGGGGCTGCGGAACGGACCTCTTTCATGTGGCTGCCCACAGTGGGAGCGGGCGGGGATCTCTCGCGGTGCCTCCGTTCCCCCTGCACAGGCTGCTCACGGAGCCCCTCTGGCTCGGGAAGTCTCTGACTTAAGATTGCAGGGATCAGCCGCTGGCCAGACTGGGACCCCAGAATGGAGAAGGCAGGGTTGCTTGCTCCAGGGCCCACCTACCACCACCTCCTGCTGCTGCCACCGTGCCAGGGTTTCTCGAGTTTTCTCTGCCTCCACACTTCAGAGCCACAGCTCAGGCACAGCCCCGGCCAGGAATGAGTTCCTGTCCTTTGGGGCTCAGCCCAGGAGCTGCTCCTCCAGGAAGGCCTCCTCCCGGCAGGAGCCCCAGCCCCTCTGCAGGCCGGGAGCAGTGGCCAGCAGTGGAAGGAAAGAGCAGCGCGCTTCTGGGTGCTTCCTCCACGCCCGTGTCTGAGCAGGTGACACTGCATCATCCCACCCGGAGGTTGACCACTGCCCCTATTTAAGGTGAGAAACAGTCTGGAGAAGGTCAGTGACGCTTCAGGTCCCAGGGGAAGCACCTCCCACCTTCTCTTCCTGAGCCCATCCTGCAGGAAAGGAGCCTGGGCTGTGAAACCAGGGGCTCCAGACACGGTGCTAGGGCCCAGCCCAGGCTCAGGCCAGCGGGGCTCCGGCAGGCCCGGGAGGCTGGGCCTGGGGAGAAGATGACAGTATCAGTGGACTTTCTCAGGAGCCCTGCCCTGCTCTGGAGCTCAGCGCCGACAGGCCGGCTCCAATCACGCCCTGCTCTATCCCTCCCAGTCCCTCTTCCCTCCTGGGACTCAGTGTCCACACCTATAAAATGGTCATCATCTGGCCAACTCCTGAGAGTGAGGAGGAGCTGAGGACAGAGCACTCTGTGGGGAGGACAGGGAGCACTCGGCACCCAGGACTGGCTCAGGCTGCTTGTCAGCCTCCAGAAGCTGGGCTCAAACCACTGACAGGCCCTCCAGCGTCACCAAGCCTGTGGTGCTGCTGTGCGAGACCGCCACGGTCACCCCATTTTGCAGATGGGAAAGTGGAGGCACGTGGTCAAGGTCAAACCTAGAAAGGTCAGCACATTGCAGCTAACTTGGCTGCTAAGGTCGTGGCCTCCCGTGACCTCCAAGAGAAGGAGAGGGGGGTTGCCTGGCATTGAGGTGCGACTGGCAAGAGGCCAGCTCAGTGTCCTGTCTCGGCGGCACGGAGGGGGCCAGGAGGCCAACAAAGGCAGAGGGCAGGGAGCAGAGGAGCTGGGCAGGGCCACAGGAACAGGGTCATCTGTGGGGAACAATGTGGGCACCCGGATGAAGCCACTCGGCCGCCTGGCCAGGCTCTGGTGCGGCCACAACCCAGACACAGCAGCCACTGTCTGCCCAGCCGAGGGGTGGGGCACCCAGGCCCTAGGCCCGCTCTGCGGCCTGTCAGGAGATTTACACCCGACTCTTAACAACCGCATGGAATCGCAGGCGGGTGCTGGGCCCCGGGTGGTCTGCTGTGAATCGGCCCCCTGTGAGCAGATGAAAGCCGGTCGGTGGCTGGCGGGGGGCCAGCGGGCAGGGAGGCAGGCTTCTCCTTCCCAGGCCTGCAACTGGGGTTTCCAGCGGCCTGGGCTTGATTAGGGAGCCAGGGAGGTCTAAGGTTAACCCCTTCCCTCCTGCTGGCACACTCCCCTGGGGACCGGGGGTCCGGGGGCTGGGGCCAGGAGCCGTTGGCTCTCCTCACCTGGGACATCCCTCGCCTCCCCACACCTGGAGCTGAGGACAAAACGGCAGCTTTAGCTTTTCCCACCCATGCCGCCACAGTGACTGCTCACCTCCTTCGGGCCCTGCTCAAATATCGCCTCTTCAGGAGGTCTCCCCGTCCCCCACCCTGCCGTGTTTCATCCCCACACGCTGTCCGCTCACCCCCGACTTTCTTTTCTTCACAGGACTTCATGTTACCTGAAATTAAATCAGCTAATCATTCGTTTACTTCACTTATTCCGTAAGTGTTTATCGAGCACCTACGAAGTGTTCGTTTCTGTATTCCAGGGTCTATACCAAGTGCCTGACAAAGCAGAGGAAACACCCTCACCCTGTGGAACGTGTGCACGAGAGGGGAGATGAGAAAGCAAGAAAAGAAATGAGTGGACTACACAGCATCTTAGAAGGTGCTCGAGCTCAAATGGAAGCCGGGAGGTATAAGGGGGTTTGGGGGGATTGCTGTGCCTGTGATTTGAAACAGGGCGATCAGCAAAGGGCTCACTGCAAAGTTTGCTGAAAGACTTCAGGGAGGGAAGGAGTGAGCCATGAATCTGGGGGTGCCCGGGGGGTGTTCCCGGTAGAGGGAATAGCAGTGCAAAGGCCCTGAGGCAGGAGTGAGACTACCCACTTTGAAGACCAACCAGGAGGCCAGCGTGGGGAGAGTGAGGAGGAAGGCGTTTGAGAGGAAGACAGAGGAGTAATGGGCACAGATCAGGTGGGGCCTTGTTGCCATGGTGATAACAGAGCTGTTTACCATCTCTCCCCACCCCTGTGTGTGAGACCCATCTGCTGGGTTCACTGAGGTGTCCCAGCTTCTAGAACAGTGCCTCCTCACGGGAGGTGCCTAGGAAAATATTGGTTGAAATCCTTCCATGTACATTTTTGGGAAGGGCCCACAGGCAAGATGGCAGGGCTGCCCTCTCTCGGCCTCGGGCAGGATTAGGAACCCGGGTCCTAGCCTTTCAGGTACCAGCACCTGCTAAGCCTGGAAGACGTGGAGCACGCAGTCCCCAAACTGTGGTCCACGACAGAGTCGCCAGGCGCTGTCCTGCCTCCTGCCCAGATCCTGGATCCCGCTCAGCCACCTTCCTTGTAACAAGCCCCCAGCGACTGTGAGGGACACCAGTATCGAGAACCTCAGAAACCAAGGCCACACAGGCAGGAAGCCACCAAGCCAGCCTCCAGCCCAGCCGGCCACCTGGCTGCAGCTGGGGCACGCTCTGCAGGGCACTGGAGGGGAACGGCCCGGCCACAGAACCCACAGCGGCTCAGAGATCTGCAGGCTCCACTCCTTGGCTCCCTGGACCAGCTCCGACTCCCCTCCCACTCCACCACGGGGGGACAAAGCAGGAGAAAGGCCCAGAAAGAAAATCCCGACATAAACCATGAGGGCTCCTGAACACTTCCTGCAGGAGGGCAGCTGGAAGCCAGATTAATGACCACAAGAACTCCCCCGAGGAGATGCTAATATCGCCCCCATTTTACAGATGCGCACATGAAGGTGGGAAGGCCCTTCTAAGTGACTTGCTGGCCTGAGCCCCGGGCTGGAGCCCTGGGTGCACCTTGAGCAAGTGGCTTTGCCTCCTGGCCTGTCTCTTCCTGGGGCCATTAAGGATCAGTTAACTGAGGCTTTGCCCAGGGCCTGGCACTCGGGGGGGCTGGATGACCGGCCGTGGGGAAACTGAGGCCCAGAAGGTCACAGGCGGAAGGCCAGGCTGGGACTGGAACCCAGGTGCTGGGGAGACCTGACCTGAGGGCTGGGCCAGGGGCAGGGGCCGGGGTAGGGCCAGGGGAGGGGCCAGCAGGTCCTCGGGATGGAAGACCTGGAGAACTGCCTGCCTCCCCCCAGGCCCATGGCTGCTCTTTCCTATAAATGAGCTTTTGCTAAGGTTTTATTGGAACAAGTCACTTTAAAACCACTGATCTGGCCTGTGCCACCGCCCAGAGAGGGGCACCATCTGCCTCAGGTCACGCAGCAAGCCTGGCCTCTGACTCCAGCTTATCTCCAGGCCTGGCTCTCCCTTCTCGCTGCCTCTTCCTGTGCCACCCACTCCCCCACCAGCTCACTCCAAGAAGGGGCTGTCTCAGGTGTGGGGGACCCCAGGAGAGACGAGCAGGCAGGGGGAGGCCAAGTCTTCACCCTCATCCAGGGGCCTCAGTGGGGGCTGGTGAGCAGCTCTGGGCTGGGCGGGCTGAACATGGAGGGCTCTGAGGGATTCCAGGTGCTGCCCGGCCCCTGGGAACCTTCCCACCAGGCTCCACGCCCCGGCTAACATGCCTCTCCACACTGGGTGCTCACTGCTTTGTGCCGCATCAGTCACACTGAGCCCAATGGTGGCTCCCGTCCGTCCTGATTCTGCCCCTGGAGACTCAGAGTAGAATATCACCTCCTTCGACAGAAACTTAGACCTCTATTACCATGGCCTGGGGTTCCAGCAGCCACCCTAGTGGTGGTGGTGATGGGAGCCCAGGGAGATGGCCCAGTGCCAGAGGTAACAGAACACAGTCCAGTGACTCACAATGAGCCTCCCTCTGCTGCCGCCTGTGGGCACTGACCCCCAGGCCTGCAGGGAGGAGGGTATTCTCGCGCTTCCCGGAGGAGGCAGCTGATGCCCAGAGAGGTCTGCAACTTGCCCAAGGTCCCCCAGCCAGGCAAAGTGGCTTAGACTCTGCTGTCTGCACAAAGGCCTGTGACACACAGGGCTTGCCAGCCTTTATCACCTGGAGATGCGGGGGAGTCACTGACCCGGCTCACCGCTGACAAAACTGAGGCCAAAAAGGAGACATGACTTGTTGGAGCTATGGAGCCCAAGGCCAGGCATGGACACATCCATGTCCAATCCTAGCAGGAATCTGACCAGACCCAGTGCCTGCTGGGAGCTGCCTGCCTTTGGGCCTGATGACCACATACGACAGCTCAGGGGAGGCCGCAGGAGGGAGTCCTGAGAGGTGGGAGAACTCTTCCAGGGCCAGCTCTGAGCCTTCCCCGGATGGGCCATGCCCGATTCCCAGGAACGGAGGCGCGGGGCCAGGCCTGGGAGCCCTCCCTGACCACGCCCTGGTAGTCACACTCCCGTTGTGAGCCTTGGGCACTGAGAGGCCAGGAGCTTGTCCTCCTGCCAGGCTTACTCCCTCCTGAGCTGGGATCAAAGGCTGTGTCTAGGATCCTGGACGCCTCCCCAGCCAGGACCTCCATGTCCCCAGGCCTGAATTCTCTCCTCACTGCGACTGGGTGACCCTTGGCTCTGATATCACGAGGATCTCACATGAGACAATAAATACGAGAGGGTTGTCTAAACTGCAAGGGGCCACAATTACACAGAAAGACAAGGACAGGGTAGCTCTCAATGCACCAGTGAGCGTGTGCGAGTGAGGGGCAGTCCAGACAAGAGCTCTGCTCAGAGCTCAGGAGCAGCCAGTCCAGAGATGGCCAGCTGGTTCTCTGCTTCATTCATTCATTCATTCATTCACTCACTCACTCATTCACTCTTTCATCCAGTGAACACAGGCCTCTGGCCCACTCCTTGGCCGCTGCCCCTCCAGTTCCCTAATCTGAATCTGCAAACCCCAGGCCCTTCAGCAGAAGCAATGAAACACAAACTCTCTTTGATGCTAAAATGCACGGACCAGGGCTCCCTACACACAGCAGGTGCTCGATAAATATCTGCAGAATCAAATTTGCATTTCTGATCTGGACACTGGGCCCAGGGGTCAGCATGCCCGGCCCCTGGGCGACCTGAGTAAGTCACAGACTCAGATTCAAAGAAAGAGTTTCCAAGGAGGGGACCCGGCCTCCTTCAGCCACTGGCGGAGGAAGCTGGGGTGGAGCAGAGCACACCGGCCCGGCCTCCAGCCCCATGCAAGTCCATACTCCCCAGAGGCTCCCAACGGCGGTCACCCCATGGGAGCGGGTCCGCTGATCCTGTTATCTCCCTGTCCCAGCCTCCTCACTGGCCTCCCGAAGTCCAGGCCAAGCACAGAGGGTTGGGGGGTGTAGAGCAGAGACCACATCCCCGCCCCCCGAGTGCTCCCAGAACCCAGTGCCGTCTGTCTGACCTCGGCTGCTGCCCTTCTCCCTTTGGACCCTCCTTCCCCCTCCCAGGGGACTCAGTGGCTCGGGCACTTACGTCTGGGCTCCCGGGGTCCATCCACAGTCACCTTGATGGCTCGGTGGTAGGTGGCCACTTGGGTGGGGTTGGTGAACACGGTGATGGTCAGTGTGAAACTCTTCCCTGGGGGGAGTGGGGAAAAGGCAGGAGGTTGGTACCTGGAGCCACTCACAACACGTTGGTCTCCCCAAGAAGCCCCCTAACCTTCCAGAAGGGGCAGGCCACTCTCCTTTGAATCTGGGCAGAAGACGGGGCTCTGGGTGAAGTTCAAACTGCTGGGGTTGGCACTCAAGGCTCCAGGAGGTCTGGCACCAACTTTATTTTGCCTCCACCTCCCCAGGCTGCCCTGGCGTATCCCTCTCTGTTTCTTATCCTGTTTGTGTTCCTTCTATGCAGAGACCCCTGTGATTTGGGGGTGGGGAGCAAGGATGGAGAGATTATATATGTGTATGTATGTATGTGTGTGTATGTATGTGTGTGTATGTGTATGTATGTGTGTATGTATGTGTGTGTGTATATATATATACATATATATTCCCCCCCAAAAGTAATTAATGATTTTTACAGAGAATTATGAGAACATAAAAGATATAAAAAAGAAGAAAATGCCCATAATCCCACTAGCCAGAGATAAACACTGTTACAGCTTGGGTGTTTTCTCCTCCAATCCTTTTTGTGTGGGTAAGCACGTTTAAAAAGTTGCAGTGATTCCAATATATATACATATATTTTGTACCCTGCTTTGTTTTTCATCTAACATCACATCATAAGCACTTTCCCGTGTCATTACAAATTCTTCATAAACTTCATTTTTAATGGCTGCAAAATATTTCAACTCATAGGAGCCTCATCTTTTATTCATTCATCTCCTTACTCTTCGGCATTACCCTGCCGCTGATTTCTTACGGTGTGTGCGGCTGGGGCTGGAAAAGGGCTGATTTGGGAGCTGCAGACATTTCATTTGTAGACACAACTGTTATTTCCAGGACTCTGTTCTATTTTTAAATAGGCATTTGGCTCCAAAGTCTCCATTCAAAATTCCTGAGAGGGGAAAAAACTTTTAAAATAATTTATTTTTTTACCATTTGAAATAAAATGAAAATGACCTTCTGCTTATAAGAGTCTTTGTCTGCATTTCTGCGGACTTCCTCAGCATAGATTCCAAGAAGTGGCGCGTGAGTCCATCAGAGCAGAGGGCTGGGACGTACTTAGGGGCCGCGATCTCTCCAGAGATGGGATGGCTCTCCAGAGAGCCACTGTGATGGGTGTGAGGCCGTGTGTCACCCTGGCGCCATCGGCGCCGTCTATTGAGGTGGAAGATCTTTTAAATGCTCCTGACTGAACTAGTCTTTTTTCTAATACTAGTGAGAATGAAGCTTTTTATACATTTATTATCCGTCCTAACCCAACACAAATGATGGCTTCGTGTTCTTTTATAATTTCGTATTAAAGTTTTGGTGCCTTTAAAACATCATTCTGTAGCCTAGCTGGTTTGGATCAGTGGATAGAGTGTTGGCTTGGGGACTGAAGGGTCCCGGGTTCGATTTCGGTCAAGGGCACGTACCTTGGTTGCAGGCCCCGGACCTGGTTGGGGCTCGTGCAGGAGGCAACCACTTGATGAGTTTCTCTCACATAGATATTTCTCTTTGTCTTTCCCTCTCTCTTCCACTCTCTCTAAAAATCAATGGAAAAATATCCCCGGGTGAGGATATAACAAACAAAAAGCCATCTCTCCGTAATCAGCTCGTTAACACCTCCCTGTCCTATTTGTGGCGATCGGCTGCCCCGATCGATCGATCGCTGGCCTTTACGTTTCCCTCTCTGGTTCTGAGCTGGTTTGCGTTTTCATTTCTTTCTCTGGTTTGTGATTGCTCCTATGTTTTTTATGTTTAGGCAGGTTGCCCTGGGTAACGGGGCCGATAAAGGCTTGCCTCTGATGAACTGTGTTCTCTTTACTTCCTACATCTAATTCTTTGATTCTTCGAGGGAAGACTGCTCCATAAGGTATAAGGGAAGGATTTTTCCTCAAAGGGCAACACCAGTTTTCCCAGCACCTCCTTGGAATGTGAGCACCCCCTGCCTGCCTGCTCTCCGTTACCATCAAAACCTCCACACACGAGATTGGGAGGATGTGGGGGAGCTTCGCCTCTGTCTGAGCACCCCCATCTCTGGATCCCGGTTACAGGCTTGGAGACTCCCCGGGGGCAGGGTCATTGGCCCGGGCACCTGTGTCCCCCAGGGCTGCCAGAACGAACCCCTCTGCTGTCCCTGTGCCCCCAACGACTCTCCAAGGCGGCGGGTGGGTTTGATAGCCCACCTCACAGGTGGGGGATGAAAACTCGGAGAGACCGACAGCCTACAGTCCTCTTTGCATGGTCCATTCTCAGTGCTTCTGAGTGCTTCTAGGCCGATACAGGAGACTCCAGACCACGGTCACCTGCCAGGCCGCTGGGGCCACACCCAGGGGCCCACGGGCTCTGAGACATCAGGGCTGGGAGGATGGGGCTCAAGTATAAGAGACTGGACCTGGAAAGTGCGGGCCCCTCTGGGAGAATGTTCCTGAGCCAGCCGGCTAAAGGCAGGGATGCAAATGCCCCAGTGGTCCCTGCCCCTGGAGTCCCGGGTCAGAGGGACACACACGGCCCCTCACTCTCAGACCACAGGGGCACTTTCCGTGATTCCTGAAAACAGGACGTGCAGAAGGGCAGGGGAAATGGTGGCAGGTGGGCTCAGGCTCCCTGCCCACTCTTTCCGGGGGCCCTCCTACTGCTCGCCCTCACTCTGAAGTCATTTCCCTCCTGGGCCCCCGGCCCCCAACCAGTCAGGCACTCTCCGGGGGCCCCTGGGCCTCTCTGTCCATCACGTCCTCGGTCCACAGGGCACCAAGTGATGAGGAGTTTAGGTGGACAGCGGCCAGAGGGCTGCCAGGCGGGTGGGCCCCAAGCCCCTGAAAACCCCCCTTTTATCACCTCACCTCCCTCAGGTCTCCACTGAAAAGTCACATGCCCAGTGAGGCCTGCCCTGGCCATTTTCTCTAAAGTAGGAGTCTTTAACTCGACTTGTGCAGCCTCCTCTACAACTGAGTGCGCCCGAGAACCGGGATAGGAAAGAAAAAGACGGGCCATTGCATTGTCCCTAACCTCGAAATGAAATTTAGCATCTCTCTCGAGGCTGAACATAGGCAACAAGCCACAAAGCCTCACAGAAGTCCCTGCGACCTTGTCACACAGACGTCACAGGCATTTACATATCACATTACAGGCGCTGCAGATTCCTCTAAATAGCTCCCACACTCGTCACAACTTCAAAATCATGGTCGTCATTGCTAGATCTTATTACTTCATATGCTAACAAAGTGGGCACATTTATCACAATTTTAAAAGACAGCTCGCTAACTATGTTTTAACATAATTGGTTCCCAGTGTCATCTTTTATATTTTATTTTGCTCCTTGAAAAACATTATCCTGAGACTGTCAAAGGGGTCCACAGGGTGAAAAAAAGATGAAGAAGATCAACCAGAAGCGTCATAAACCTTCCCTTGCTCCCTGACTGAATTTCCCCCAAATGCTTATTACTTCTCATAATTCATCTACTTAGTTATCTCGTCTCCCAGTATTAGACTGTAAGCTCCCTGGAGACCAGAATTTTTGTGCTTTTCATGGCTGTTTCCCAAGCCCCTAGGACAGCATCTGGCATGTCGTAGGTGCTCAATAAATGTTTGTTAAAGGAATGAAGGGCAGAGATTGCTGCTCCCATTTTATAGATGAGAAAACTGAGGCAGAAAGGCAATGAGGAGACCAGGTCACACAGTCTCCAGGCAGAGCCCAGGAAGGTTAGAATATGATGGAGCCAGCCCCTCTACACAGACACTAAGGGCCTGCTGTGAGAAGCCCCTCTCCCCATCAGGCAGCAAACCACAGGACACCCGAGGTCACCAGCCCTCCTGGACAGCTTCCTCTCAGTTTCCAGGCCTGGCACTAACCCTCCCAGGCACTCCTAGAGAGGCGGGAGGGGGCCAGGAGAAAGGGAGAGGCTGGGACCTGGGAGCAGGAGTGGGAGGGCGGAGCAGGTAGCAGGGAACAAGAGACAGGGACCCCTTGAACCAGGGGTGAGCAAAAGCTGTCTCCCTGAGGGGCCCTCACCCCTCTCTGTGCCTAGCAGCAAACCCATCCATTATCTCTCTTCTCCTCTTGGAGGAGGAGCTGAGAAAACCAAGGAGGTGGACAACGTTGTGCAGGAACCCCGGGCAAACTTGCAACCAGCCGGGAGTCTAGGAATTGTAAATCAAGGCACTCCGAGGGCTGGCGATTGGAGGGGGAGCAGTCCTCGTCTGGAAATAGCTGTGCCTTGGGGCTCGGAGTGGCCCCAGACATTCCAGAAGCACCTGGGGCCCTGAACCAATCAGCACACACTGCTGGGCCTGGCAGTGTGACCTTGGGCAAGTCCCCGTCCTTGTCCCCGTCCCTCTCAGCCAGGGTTCCTGTGGGAGGTGTCCCTACCACAGGGCTCATGGGTAGCGGGAGGGGACCTGCCTCGGGAACCTCTGGGTTTCTCAACATTGGCCAAGAAGCCATCTATCTCCTCCCCACCAGTGCCTGCAGCTCACACCTTTCACCCCAAATCTCTCTCCACACACTACGGCAGGATCTTTTTAACCAGTTAACGACAGTTTGGGAACTAAAGCTCTTTTCACTTTCACCTAGGCCCGTGGTCGGCAAACTGCGGCTCGTGAGCCACATGCGGCTCTTTGGCCTCTTCAGTGTGGCTCTTCCACAAAATACCACGTGCAGGCTCGCACGTACAGTGCGATTGAAACTTCATGGCCCATGCGCAGGAGCCGGTATTTTGTGGGAGAGCCACACTGAAGGGACCAAAGAGCCACATGTGGCTTTCGAGCCGCGGTTTGCTGAGCCACAGTTTGCTGACCACTGACCTAGGCCCATGGCCGCCTCCTAGAGGGCTTTTTGGGGATTGTGGTGTGTGATTCTCAAGAGGTGGGATTGCTTTGGGGGGGAGGTGCACAGGGCTGTGAAATAGTCATACTTTCTGTGCATGAAAAACTTGCTGATAAAGATGATCTGAGCCATGAACTGAACTAAATTTTGCATAAAACAAGGTAAATTTTTTTGTACACTTTTAACGTCTATTGAATTTCCCAGGAGGAAAGACAGTCTTAAAAAAAAAAAATGTGTTCAGAACTTTACCAAGAATTGTTCACAAGTTCAGAAAATCATGTCATTGACGGCAGAGTGGGGCTCAGACTTTGAGTCATGTACACCTCGCCGCCAGTCACAGGCCACCTACCAGAGGCGGAAGTGCCCATCCATCAGACGCTGTGGTCTCGCCCAACATTTACATATTCAAATGGATATTTTATTATAAATCACTTTCCCCATTTTTTATTAGGGCTACGGAATTATATCGGCTTTGAAACTGCGTAGGTAGGTGGGCTACGGTATCTACATTTCACTGTGAGATGGTAAAGGGCGTTACACATTATTGAAGGGGGCGCTGCGTCTGGGAGGGTGTGCACCTGGGCCTTAATCTCTGCAAGGGACACTGATGATTTGGTTTCCTTCCCTTCCTGTTCCTGCTTCACACCTGCAGTCTAATCACGAGAGCTCTGTGCTGCTGGTGTGTGCATGTCTTTCCTGGAAAGGTATCTATCTTCCTGGAATTAAGACAGAGTCAAGGAATGAAAGGCAAGGAAACAAGCAGAAGTTTCCATCTGGCTCCTTGGCCCTGGCAGAGGCCGGAGAGCCAGGGAAAGGCTCTGGGTCCCCAAACCTGTCCCCACTCCTGAAATGGCCCAAACCCGTCCCTGTCAATCACTGACTTGTTCTCTCCGAGGGAATTTCCCACTGGGCAGGATGGGCAGAGCCGACGCGAGAGGCTGCTTGCCACAGGAGCCCGGCGCCCTCCTTCCTCAGCCACCCGCCTCCACTTCTCCCACTCAACAATTCACACCTTCTGGGTTTCCCCCACCCCCGCCCAAACCGCACCCGAATCAGAGAATCAGTGACTGTCACCACTCAAAGGGACTTCAAAGATCTCTTCTAGTCCCAGGCATTTGAAGTAACAAAATCTCTATCATGTATCCAGCTCGCAACAGTTGCCAACGGAGACACTTGTACCAAGTTCCTTAGCCCTGACAAAATCCCATGAGGTAGGTACCAGTATGATCCCCATCTTACAGATGCGGAAACTGAGGCACAGAGAGATTAAGCCATTTGCTCAATGTCATCCAGCAAGTCACCGGTGGAGCTGGGGCTGAACCCCAGGTCGGATGTTTTAGAGCCCAGGCTGTTGAATACCATGAGCCTCCCAGGCCTAGAAGTCCTGTGGACTTCTACAGGCATCAGAACCCCAACTGAGGCCTCTTCCTGCTTCCCAGGACCACCAAGATTGGGGAGAGGAGTGCAGCCTCCTGCATCTATTTTCCAGAGCCACAATCCAGCCTCCGCTGTGCCTGCTCTAAGAGTGGGCTGCCCAGCAGGCCCTGTGGGTGGGCACAGGTCTGTGGGCATAAATGCCACAAGAAAATCATTTTCTTTTTTTAAAATATATTTTTTAAATTGATTTCAGAGAGGAAGGGAGAGGGAGAGAGAGAGAGAAACATCAGTGATGAGAGAGAACCACTGATCGGCTGCCTCCTGCACGCCCCACACTGGGGATCGAGCCTGCAACCTGGGCATGTGCCCCTGGCCGGAATTGAACCTGGGACCCTTCAGTCCACAGGCGGACGCTCTATCCACTGAGCCAAACCAGCTAGGGCGAGGAAATCATTTTCAGCAGCAGAATGGCCAGGCAAGGTCTCAGGTAACTCAGAGAATCATCATCTCTTCTCTTTCTATATTGCACCTCCTAGAAGAGGGGGTGCGATGCCATGTTCCTGGTGCCGTGCTGGGCCCCAGGTTCTAAGCTTCCCTTCTGCCTGCCCCCTCGGGGATGCAGCTATAGCGGGCCTCCCTCTCTGCCACTGCCACCTGACAGACGGGGCCACCGCCCCACCGCCCAGCTGCATCCGAGCAAGCCACCGCCAGGCAGTGGCAGCTAGCGACTCTCCACTCTGGGCGGGGGCTGGGATTAAGTTGCAAAGGGCTTGAGATATTGGGGATGACAAAAGGGGCTTGGAGACTAATTAGGAGCAGCAATGAAAGCTTAATTCATAAAAGCAAACATTTTCCATCCATCAACCTGCAACCAGTTAAGGGCAACGTTTGAAAGAAATCTGTGCATGGGGAAGGGAGCCAACAGGAACAGGAAATGTTTGAAAGAATGTAAACTATTTCAGTTTCATAAAAAGTAACAAGTAAACAGTTATTACATGCAAATAATGCCCTGGTTTTAATTAATGCTGAAAAGTCAAAATATGTTTGACATTTGTATGTATACACTGAACGGCTGAAGAGGAAAAAATGGTGCCCAGATGCCCACTTCCGAGCAGGGCTGGCGGCTCAGAGGGACCTAAACCTTGAAAAGGTCTTGCTTATTGGTGATGAAAAGTACAATTCTGCCTCAGCCTCTGTGGAGGCTGGGGCCAGAGGGAACCTAGCTTACTTTCTTAACAAAGCTGGAGGGGCAGGCCAGGTGCTCAGGGAAGGGCACTCCCCAATTTTCAGCAGGCTGGTCTTAAAGGGCCAGCGAGCCCTCAAGTCTCCATTCCTCCCCCTTCCCCTCCCCGGGCAAGGTTTCTAGGACTTCTGCATCCAGAAGTGGTGATGGGTTTCAGGTCCTCCTACTCAACAGCCCCCGGTGGCAGCCGCAGCTGTGCCTGATCCTGCCTTCCTTCATACTGCCCCGGGGGTAGGTCAGGCAGGTAGGCTGGCACATCGGCCTTGACTCTGGGGCGGGAGATGGCAGCCTTTGAGCTGCGCTTTCCAGTATTCAGCATCCTGTACTGCATTCGTTTCTTTTCTAAACCACGTTAAGGCTCAAAGGGCTGGGGAAATTGTGGCTTTGGGAGACCACAGCTGCGGAGAGGCAGCCCCAAAGTGTGGGGGAGATTCTGCCCCAGTGGGGAGAGTGGCTGGGGTGCCGGGTCCCCGAAGACCAAGGATTTGTCCTCTAAACCGCCTGCCGAAAGACTTAGAAGGCCCTTTTTTGAGCCTGTTCCTCATCCCCCAGCAGCTTTTGTGAGATCAGTGCACTCAATCAGGAAAGGGAAGGCATGGCGGGCTCCAGGAGTTAGGAAGCCCCAGAGACTGGGGGGGAAATGGCAGCTTTTCCCCTCACATCTTCAGGGGGGTCTGTGACACCCTAAGGGGTTGCAAACTGCTGTTTTAGACCGAACTGGGCATGGACCTGTTTCTGGGGCTCCCGCGGGGACCCCTCATTCTCAGCTTCCTTCCCCCCAACCTTTGCTACGGCCAGTGCTGGGCTGGCGCAGTCTCCCTCCCACTCACCTCGCCCACTGCGGCCCACGAAGCGAAGGTCGTTGAACCTGGCCACCTGGTTCTTCATGACGGCAGAGGCATTGCGCAGTTCGGCAGAGTAGTTCTCATCGTTGCCCGCCATCACCGTCACCACCGTGCCATCTGGCACATCCCCCAGTGCCACCACCTGAGGGCAGGGGGCAGGGGGCCAGCTTAGAAAGGTAGCGGGAGGCCAGGGAAAGGGGGGAGGGGCTGGGGCAGGCAGCTCCCCTAGGTCCCAGGCGCACTGCGGATTTCTCAAATGCGGAGTGGAGAGGAGGCTTACCAACAATAGAGACCGCTCCCTCCCCCTCCCCCCAAAACAAAAAGATCTCCACCTTCCGAACCAAAATCCTAGGTAAACTGGTGAAGCCATGCCCCGGGAAAGCATCCCTTCCATCCATTAAACCTAAGGGAGAGCTGGGCACCAGCTCAGTCACTGCGACGTAGGAAGCAGCTTCCTTCTTCCCTTTGCTTGTGAGCTAAAGAGGAATCAACACTGCCTCTAGCAACCCAGTCTCTAACGTTAAAAAAACAGTATCAACAACAATGATGAGGGGACTCAAATAATGCAAGAGCCGTTTGGGGTATGATGTTTGGCCCCGACATGTGGCCTCAGCCCAGTGTGTCGGCCTCTGCGTAGCCTGAATTCGTTATGCAGGGAAAATGCAAAACAAGCTGTCGTTTTGAGAGGGTCTGTCCAGAAAACCCCTTTAAAGCGCCAGAGGGGCTTTTGATAGCAGGAGGATGCACCTGCTGGGAATTGCGGGGTGGGGGTGGAGGTGCCCCCTAATATCGTCTCCCCCAAGCCTCACCCCTCGGAGCTCGGAGAGGCAGATGCCTTTTGAAAAGGAATCAGGCTGCAGACACAGTCACAGCCATGCATTTGAACGTGGCCACCGCGTGCAGGGACGAGGGATCCAGATGGTAAAAATTTCAAGGAGAAAATGTTTGGGGTCTGATTAAAAAGGCCAGATTTCCTGTCAACATCCTGTCTTCTTTTAATTTCAAAGATTCCTTTTAAGCTCCAAGTGACAGTAAAACCTCCGATCTGAGGATTAAAGTCACAGGGGCTGCCTGCCGGTCCCCAGGAGGTTCTCCCCACTGGTGTTTTAAGATGTCACCCGGGAGACCTCAAAGAGCCACTCATCCTTTTTTTTTTTCCTTTCCAATTTGGAGTCGTCTTAATGGGAGCAAGGCCGGCCTCGGCTGCCAGAAGCCGCCGCCGGCAGCCACCTCGGGCACCGCCACCCCCAGCCGCCGCCCGCCCTGCCCGCCCGTTCTCACGGCAGCTGCGAGAGGGTTAGGGGAAAACCAAGTCGTTTTCGTTTCATCTCGCTGCCCCCTTAAAAAAAAAAAATGAAAATGAAACAGTCGCCTACTCCCCGGCAAAGAGAAGCTCCTCTGCATGACTGGGGGCTGCCAGGGGCGGGAGCACCCCCGATCTCTGCCTAACATTTGGGATCCCCGCAGCTACCGGTTAGGGACAGTGTCTCTGGTCCCGGCCCAGAGCCGCGCGCGGTGTACGGTTTCTGAAGCGGGAGGTTGAGGGTGTGAGCAGGAAGTGTTGCTGAAGCTGTGCAGGAGGAGGGGTGCCGGCAGGGCAGGGCAGGCCTATCCACCCTCCGCACCCCACCTCCGTGTCCTCGCCCGGGGGCCCCGGGCTCCGCTTCTCCCCTCCCCGCAGGGCTGTGTCCGAAGGATCCGGGTTGGAGGGGAGCCCCATCGGCCCGCTTCCATATCAACGTTTCTCCCCCCGGGCTCCCCGAAGGTGGAGGGGGCATGCCTCTCTACAAGTCACCAGTGCGGGGTGCACCCCAAAGGAAACGCCTGCGTCTCCGGGTGGAGCGCGCCCTGAGACCGACCGGGCTGGTGGCCCAGGTGCCTGGCTCTGGCTTCGGGG